TTGTGGGGGGAAGCTCATCCAGTGGGCGCACTCTATATCATGAGAAACACTGAATATACTCATCATTTGTATCCAAATCCAAAATGGCAGCATACATGAACAAAAACACCTGCCATGAGGTAAACCTTTTCATTTTCCAATGTTGATTCTATTTTGGGTGGACTGTGTTTCAGATAATATGGATTCTTAAGGATGATTTTATATGTTCTTTTGAAGGAATAATGAAAAAATAAAAACTAATGAATTTTCACAGTGATGATAATCAGACATTAACTATTAGTCCATGAGCCAGGGGGGTTGATCAGTATCATCGGGGGGACAAATGCTATCATTGTTTTTTGGCAAGGTATACACCCCTAGTACTAGAAAAATCACGATAGCAGTGCAGGGGTGGTAGCGAAATCACTTTTTTCAGCTCATGAAGTTACTAACCCCCTAAGAAAAATTCAGTTTTTTAAATCTGGTGTATATCTGGTTAAGGCTCATGGTAGGGATATTGTCAATATTCCATAATATGGTGCTTGGTATCGTTGGCAAGGGGACCTTTTAGGCTTTCATTTAAGCCCAGTACTGAATCTGTCTGACAAACACAGAGGTCACATGACTTCTTTAAACCAGAAATAACACACATTTTCTCACAATTTCCGCCTAAACTGTATGCTTTCTTTTATCCCTGGGGCATGAAAGAACACCAGGGACACAAAACTCAACAACTTCAATACTCAAGGCACTCTGATGATTCAGAAAATGTATAATATACCCATACTATTTATTTGTGAGAGCCTTAAATTATAATATAATAATAATATAATAATATAGAATAGAGCGAATAGAATGGACAAATAGGATGGAGCCCTACTAGTTGTAAAATTCAATAAAGAAACAGGTTGTAAAGTCAATATATTTAATCAAAGACTGGTTTGTATGTTGATATCCATTATTTTATTATCTATTCATCATCATTCTCCATGTCGTCCTCGTCTTAATCTGAACTTTCTACACAGGTCGCCTGGTTTTCACACTTTGTCAGTTTACACATGTCTGTGCACCTGAGGCCATTTACAAGACACATACATCGAGTGAACATTTTTTTGTGCAGTTGCAGGCGAGTAGATCCAGGAGAGCTTCAGGTGCTGGCCGGCCTTCCATCCAGTGCAGCACCAACTGTTCACCTTCCTCCTCTGTCTCCATCTTCCATCCTCTGCCAACAGGGCTTGGTACTTGTGGGGCCTTTTCTAAACATCTTCTCCAAATACCAGCCTGATAGTTAGCTCGCAGTGTGTGTTGCCTCCAGTGTTGGGAAGTTACTTTTAAAAAGTAATTAGTTACAGTTACAAGTTACTTCTTCCAAAAAGTAACTAAATTAGTTACTCAGTTACAAATTATAAAAGTAACTAGTTACTTCAGAAAGTAACTATTGCGTTACTTTCAAGTACATTTTTAAATGCTTAAATATGAACCCACCTCCACCACTCTTTAATGGAACTTAAAATACATGTGCATGTTCAATTATTTATGATAAATCTGAATATTATAATGAAATGGACACTTAATACAATCCATTATTAACAGAAACAATGTACACAAATCTAAACTATTTTAATGTTGCTGTGGGAGACTAGCCTCCAATCAAATGCCATGTATGTAGATATTATGTTTATATAGTGGATCCATACAAATAACACAATAGATGTTTTGGAACTTTTGATATTTATTGCCCCTCAACAGGCCACAACTGGGCAAAATTAAATTATGCTTGTTAAGCACTATACCAAAAATGAATAACAAATATATACACTCTTTGTAGTGCCAATAAAAAAAAACTTCAGACAATTGGTAGATATACTGTACTTCAAGTATTTTCTTCCTCGAAAAAGTAGAACAGTGTAACAATATGAGGTGCTTTCAATCTAACATAATAATAAAAATAGCATAATGTGCATTTCACGATTACCTTTAATTTAATTTCTTGGAGGGAAAAGTAATGGCTATACTTCCATTTAGAGAAGGCTACTTTTGGATTATTTGGGCTCGCCATACCTGTCTCTCGTTGATTGACTCGCTTGTGTTGTTCGTTGTGTGTCCGACTATGCGTGCTTTCGAACACCCGCCCAACTCTACCTCTGATTGGCTTACCATTAAATTTTACTCAACCTCAGCCAATCATCAGCATTTATGCGCTTGTCGTGCACTGCCCACTAACCAAGGAAGAACAGTAAAAAAAAAAAGTCTTTGCCTCTCGGCTCAGAGATCTAGTTGGTCTGATGAAAAAAACAGCTTCAATCATTTTTTGGCAGTAACGGTAACAGCGTTATTAAGATGGGAAGAGTAATCAATTAGATTACTCGTTACTGAAAAAAGTAACGCCGTTAGTAATGCCGTTATTTTTTTTTTACTGTTCTTCCTTGGTTAGTGGGCAGTGCACGACAAGCGCATAAATGCTGATGATGCTGAGGTTGAGTAAAATTTAATGGTAAGCCAATCAGAGGTAGAGTTGGGCGGGTGTTCGAAAGCACGCATAGTCGGACACACAACGAACAACACAAGCGAGAAAATCAACGAGAGACAGGTATGGCGAGCCCAAATAATCCAAAAGTAGCCTTCTCTAAATGGAAGTATAGCCATTACTTTTCCCTCCAAGAAATTAAATTAAAGGTAATCGTGAAATGCACATTATGCTATTTTTATTATTATGTTAGATTGAAAGCACCTCATATTGTTACACTGTTCTACTTTTTCGAGGAAGAAAATACTTGAAGTACAGTATATCTACCAATTGTCTGAAGTTTTTTTTTATTGGCACTACAAAGAGTGTATATATTTGTTATTCATTTTTGGTATAGTGCTTAACAAGCATAATTTAATTTTGCCCAGTTGTGGCCTGTTGAGGGGCAATAAATATCAAAAGTTCCAAAACATCTATTGTGTTATTTGTATGGATCCACTATATAAACATAATATCTACATACATGGCATTTGATTGGAGGCTAGTCTCCCACAGCAACATTAAAATAGTTTAGATTTGTGTACATTGTTTCTGTTAATAATGGATTGTATTAAATGTCCATTTCATTATAATATTCAGATTTATCATAAATAATTGAACATGCACATGTATTTTAAGTTCCATTAAAGAGTGGTGGAGGTGGGTTCATATTTAAGCATTTAAAAATGTACTTGAAAGTAATGCAATAGTTACTTTCTGAAGTAACTAGTTACTTTTATAATTTGTAACTGAGTAACTAATTTAGTTACTTTTTGGAAGAAGTAACTTGTAACTGTAACTAATTACTTTTTAAAAGTAACTTCCCAACACTGGAGGCAACACACACTGCGAGCTAACTATCAGGCTGGTATTTGGAAAAGATGTTTAGAAAAGGCCCCACAAGTACCAAGCCCTGTTGGCAGAGGATGGAAGATGGAGACAGAGGAGGAAGGTGAACAGTTGGTGCTGCACTGGATGGAAGGCCGGCCAGCACCTGAAGCTCTCCTGGATCTACTCGCCTGCAACTGCACAAAAAAATGTTCACTCGATGTATGTGTCTTGTAAATGGCCTCAGGTGCACAGACATGTGTAAACTGACAAAGTGTGAAAACCAGGCGACCTGTGTAGAAAGTTCAGATTAAGACGAGGACGACATGGAGAATGATGATGAATAGATAATAAAATAATGGATATCAACATACAAACCAGTCTTTGATTAAATATATTGACTTTACAACCTGTTTCTTTATTGAATTTTACAACTAGTAGGGCTCCATCCTATTTGTCCATTCTATTCGCTCTATTCTATTTTGAAGACTTGTGCTGGCTGCACAAGTCTAATTTAAGGCTCTCACAAATAAATAGTATGGGTATATTATACATTTTCTGAATCATCAGAGTGCCTTGAGTATTGAAGTTGTTGAGTTTTGTGTCCCTGGTGTTCTTTCATGCCCCAGGGATAAAAGAAAGCATACAGTTTAGGCGGAAATTGTGAGAAAATGTGTGTTATTTCTGGTTTAAAGAAGTCATGTGACCTCTGTGTTTGTCAGACAGATTCAGTACTGGGCTTAAATGAAAGCCTAAAAGGTCCCCTTTCCAACGATACCAAGCACCATATTATGGAATATTGACAATATCCCTACCATGAGCCTTAACCAGATATACACCAGATTTAAAAAACTGAATTTTTCTTAGGGGGTTAGTAACTTCATGAGCTGAAAAAAGTGATTTCGCTACCACCCCTGCACTGCTATCGTGATTTTTCTAGTTCTAGGGGTGTATACCTTGCCAAAAATCACTATGAGACTTTGTCCCCCCAGATGATACCGATGGCCCAAATTTGGGGCCCTGGCTCATGGACTAATCTGTATCCTGGGTGATACACTGCCCAGATAAGGGTATAAAACAGGGATAATCATAGAAATACTACGTTTTGAGGCCTGTACTCCACAGATAATCAATAGGTGTGAAATATTGATAACTCTTTATTGTACTCTTAAATGTGTATTCACATGGGTAAAATTCCATTTACTGTTGTTACATATTCTACTAGTAAAAGTTCAAACTTTTTTAAAATTTTGTAAACAAAACATGAAAGAAAGTTGCTAATTCATTGTTCATAACCTTTTTTAAAAGTTTTGAAAAAGAAAAATGTGAAATTTATACCCTAACTGGGCTTGTCGGGAGATTTGCAGCGTTGAAGTAAAAAAGGACCATCATGTGTCTCTCGCTCTGTTTAGACAAAGAACTGCCAAATATGTGGAATAAATACGTACTTTAAAAAATACATTCACAAACAGGCACTGAGAATAACCAGACAGAAAGAGCCAAACTTCTCTTTTGTTTGTTTATGTAGGTCAAATAGAGGCATCAGTATTAAACTTAGACTGTTTCATAACCCCTTGAAAACTCCTTGTTGTATGTTTAAGGTAAATCTTTGCTGGAGTCATTGATCAAAGTCTAGCTGTCAGAATAAAAATCAGCACTTAAACACAAAAGATAGAAACCAACGGGATCAGTGACCACTTTGGTGTTTTAATTCCTTTGACGTAAATGAATGACACACAGGGCAACATCTTACGAAACTTCCTCATGCATCAGTTACAAAAGTACAAACTGAAGCAGTTCACACCCCACCTTTCACAACACAACTTTGGTTAAAGACTATTTTCAGTTTAGAGTGCTATTATTTTCCCTTATGTGCGTGTACCAGTGTATCACAACACAGCTAGTCATAAGGTGTTAACATGTGAGAGCAAGCATTGTTTAGGGTACAGAGCAGCTCGGAAACTGGATGTATTTACTGTAAATGATGAGACACTATGGAATGTTAAGTGTCTAAGCAAAAATAAGGAAGAGCAATATTCAGAATGGTCCTGCTGCTTTGTAGAGCTCCAGGAAATCCTTTTTCAGCTGGTGTGTCATATCAGTGTGAACATACTGTATGAGAACTGTTTCAACTGGGGTGTGATACAGTAGCAATACTGACCCTTTCATTTATTTAGCACAATATTCAATATACCATTTTCGTTCATTTTGACAGAAATGTGTGATTTAGTTTAAGTCATAGTCTTTTGACTAAGTTAGCTTTAGTCATATTGGAGCTCACCAATTTCCAAAGGCAAAGTAGTTCCTCAAACAGCATTGAGAACAGCCACTAACAAACAATGCCCCTTACTTCAAGGACACACCTCACCTGAAACAATGCTCTCACCCCATTCTCCTTCGCAGTGAAGAAAGTGGCATATAGCAAACAACAATATTTTGTTTTTAACATACATTATTATTAACATTGAAATTGGATATCCCGACCAACGATATATACGGTATGACAGTGTTTACCAGCTCACGACTTCTGCATGTCATTGCCCTAAAGCCCCTGGTTCTGCAATGCAGGTTTTCTTTTTAAACTCTCTAATTGACCCTTCCCAACCCTAACCTGCCCCTTTTTTGCTATGTCCTCCAATAACAGTTGAGCAAGCCTCAGTCAGAACCTGGGTCAACTTTCTCCTTCCTTAAACTTAATTCTGCTAACTTTAACCAACTTAAGATGTGACTATATAAAGCCTATGTTGCTTTAACTTTTTTAACCATCTTGTGTGTCAAAATGTGGTTGTCCTTTCAATATAGATTAGCCTAGCACATAGCATATCTAAGTACAGGAAAGTAGAAAGAGGTTCCAAAAGGGGCGTGGCTTAGGAAAGGTCAATTGTTTCCACCTAGTTTGAGCAACAAAAGTTGGGAGAAAGTCAGTTAATGCTCAGTCTCTATTCAGCAAAGCGTTTAAAGACTGGCTTGCTTTAATCGACTAAATATCACATGATTTCAGTCGATTAAATGTACAGTAACTTTAGTGTTTAGTTAAAGTGCAATGCATTATTTAAACATTTCTCTACATTTCTTCACTCCTCTACACAGTACAAGACAGCAGTGATTTCTTTTAGCTTGTAGTGCCTTTCAAGTAACATTTTTGTCTTTTTTTTTCCTCACTCAGATTTCGTTTCTGTCGACATAAACATTTGTTTTTCAAAACATTTTTATTATTATTATCGACGAAAACTATGATGAAAATGACTCGTCAGTGCAATCTACACTGGATGGTAACAGTCCACTTACACCACTTGGGCCGTGTATTGTAAGACCTGCAACTCCATAGGATAACTTTAACTGTTAAGCAGCTGACTTCAGCTACTTCTATTACTATTTATGACCGTACGTGTGAGACATCTTAACCTTAGTGGAAAAAAAACTGTAAATAAATGATCTATTGCAAATAGTTGCAATGTATCAGTTAATGCTGGGGAACTTAGGTTCAGCTGGTGCAAAGGGATGCTGGGGGTGGGTTTTGTTTAGATTTGGATCCCAAATTGTGTATTTACATTTAAAAAAAACTGTTTGCTTACCCTGATTATTAGAGAGCTAATATGCTACACTGATTTTAATGTTTTCCACACAAGAACACATAACTGTACAGTACTTGTTTAAAATTTACTAGCAAGAGCATGGATTTTTTTACAATTTTAAGACTACTTTGTATTGGGCTTTATTGTTCATACCTCAGTTTCAACGAGTGTCTTTAAGAGGTGTGTTTGTATTAACACTCCATGAGCTCCACTGACGCTGTGTGTTTACTTTGTACGTGCTGCCCCTGAGCTGAGGACAGACAGCAGCAGCTGTAACTCACACAGAACAAATGGGGTCAAGGGATGCCAAAACTGTACTGACTGGAAAGCCAGGTCAGAGGTCACGGAGGCTGCAACACATCAAGAAACTCAAGAGTGTCGGTCGCAGCGACATCTATTTCTGAGCAGGCTAGGTTGGTCAAAGATAAAAACAGACTATCAAGCAAAGCACTGGTGCTCTGACGTGCAAACATTCAGTTAATGCAAAGCATTCTGGGATTAGTTCGGGATTTCTTTCGACAACCTTCATCCTCTACAACCTCAGTTAGTGATTTCTACATTGTCTATGATCGATTTGCTGCATAGCTGGGGTTTCTTAATCTATAGGCAGAAAGATAGCAAAAAATGTCAGTTTCCACTGACAATCATGGCACTGAAGGTCCTCACACACTGTGACTTTGGCCTGTCTAGGATCAAAGTCACAATCATTGTGTACTTACTTGATATATGTATATACACTTTTTACATCTTGGTGGTTTTTAACTATATATTTTAACCAGATGAAGGATTTTAGCTTTCAAAGCCGAGCTAACGTTAGCAGCAGCTCGGCTCGCAGCCCCTCCGGGACGTCCTTTGTCTGTCCAACAGTGTGGGAGAAGCAGTGATGATTTTAAGGTGGAACTACTTTATTCAGTGTTTTTAGTGGTTTTAATCAGCGGAGAGGACGATAATTCGGCCCAGTAGAAGTTTGTTATTGTTTTGTTATGAGAGACCCCCTAACGGCAGAAATAACATATTGTACATTTAAATCCCACACAGAGCAACATTATTACCAGTAAACATTACAGGGAGGAATGTCCATTAAAACACAATGCCAAAAACAATCAAATCCCATGTTAAAAAAAAATAATATTTAGAGTTCTAAAAAAAAAATCCACAAAACCCATGATGTTAAAAACTTGTTTAGATGAACTTTTGTCCCATCAAGTCATACAGGAAAAAAATCTTGAGTAAAAAAACCCTAACCCTCTGAACAGACATTAACAATCCTCAACATCTAACCAGACTACAGCAGGTAGAAAGTACCGGTGTGCAAACGTGGAGTCAGATTCTGATTCGGAACATGCCCTGACTCAGCTGAAGGCGGAACAGTCGGCAGTTGGCGATGCGCAGAGCGGCGCAGGCGGTTTTGGAGAGGTCGGTGGGTAACATAGGCTTGGTGCGATGCCACGTCCCGGTGCTCCGGCGAAACTCCCGGATGTAGTCGAAGCTTGTTCCTGCACACACGGGAAACACCAACCATTCACATTCAGATACTGACGATGCGTAAGAACTCTGTTGTTGTTCTGCATGGTTTTCTTCTACTAACCCGTGTCCAGGTCTCCCACTACGTAGATGCTGGCTCCGATGGGCACAGCACCGTAAACAAAGGACGAGCTGGTCTGGATGCACAGGTTCTGGTCATCCAGAAACATCCACCTGCACCCATCATACCACAACAGAAATGTGTATCAAAAATAATTTGTCTGTAATTTTACTGAAAAAAAAAAGGTAGGAACATTTTGCCTCCATTGCACGGTGTGCAGTCTTAGTTTGTACTTTATTTATGTTCTGTTGGCCCCAACAACTGAAAGCCATAATGGACAAAAAAAAAAAAAAAGCGCTGGATTATGGAGAATTAGAGATGGAATAGTTCAAGTAAAAAAAATCTGAATTGTTCGGTTTGCTAATCACAGGTTGGGCATGTATATATTCATTCATGTAATTATTCATTTGAAAAAGGCTATGAGGTCAAACAAGCATGCACAGAAAAGAAAAAGTTCAAATAAAGTTATTGGGGTGCAAAAGACTTTAAACTCATTGCAGCTTCTCAGTTGGCATGGATGAAGTGTAGAGTGCAGTCAGTCGGCTTTGGAAATGGCAAAAAGACCAACAGAGTAGCCAACAGTCTACAGAGGATCCGCTGCCATCGTGGCATCATGTGCAGCCCTATGCAGTCGTGGAGGTTGTGGGATTACAGCAGTAATGTGGCCAGCAGTTTTTGTTAGCACAAATTAGAAAACATTTTCTTTTAATTAAGATTTGACAATGAGTTAGTGTTTATATTCCTTAAGTTACTAGCCAGAATTTTGTTGAAGGCAAACAGTGGTCAATTTTGTGAACCGCTCCACTCCTATAAATAATGGCAATAACTGATATTTTCTGTATTTCTTTTTGTACTTTTGGAGTTTAGTTTAGAATTCAATAGAATTTTATTTGGTAGCATGATTATTACGGCGGTGATATACTACACTGATTCCAACTGATTCTAATGCAACTATTTTCTCAGTTTCCTCACAAGAACACCTAACTGTACGGTATGCGTTTACAATGTATAGGATAATATTTTTTAGACTACTCTGTATTGGGCCCTTCTGCATACAACTGTATAGCGCCAAATCATAACAGAAGTTCCTTTTCATATGGCACTATTCTGATCTCACAACCGCTTCCTGGTATTTGTGAGAATTAGTTTCTTAGAATTTCAAAAGAAATTCGAAGCTTGTCCAACTTCCACTTTCATTCTGATCTTCGCTACTTAAGGCAACTATATTATAGACTTAGGCTTTCCTGATTTCCCACTGGGAGCAACAGAAATCAGAACAAAAGAGCAAGTGGTGATAATAAAGGAAGTAAGCTCCTAAGAGCTGAGATGGAGAGAAGAAGCCTCAATAGTGCAAATATTATAATAATAATTTTATGTTTAGCATTTTTCAGGCTCAGGAAAGCACTGAGGCCTTACATAAATGGTAAATGGACTGTACTTATATAGTACCATTCTAGTCTTCCAACCACTCAAAGAGCTTTACACATTCACCCTTTCACACACATTCACACACTGATGGCAAAGGCTCATCAGAACAGAAACTAATTATTTCACACACATTCACACACCAATGACACAGCATTGGGCAATTTGGGCTCCAGTATTGCTCAAGCAGCAGGAGGAACCGGGGATCGAACAGCCATCCTTCTGATTAGTGGATGACGATAAAAGAATATTGTGAATGTTGGGAGCGGCTGTGAGAGCCTCATAGAACTTATTGGCAGTCGTAGAGTTAATGCAGTGAGAGAAACACGCAGTGAGATGAGATACTACAACACTATGATCTGAACAGACAAGCATCAGTAATTTCCAAATTGCAGATCAGAAGTAGAGCAACATTAAAAGACCCAGAATTTAAAATCACTTACAAGAGGCTTAGTGGGACAGCACACATGAATGTTAAAATAACCAAGAATCAGAACTCGATCAAAGCTTGGCATAGTGTTTGAGAGGAAGTCCGCAAATTGAGTGATAGTCTGTGTTGTTGTTGACGATACACAAGAGCAATTAAAGGTCCGGTGTGTAACATTTATACAAATGGAAATAAAATTGGAATATAATATTCATAGGTATGTTTTCATTAGTGTATAATCACCTGAAAATAAGAATGATAGTGTTTTTGTTACCTTAGAATAAGAATTGTATATCTACAGACACCCTGGGTCACCTTCAGTGGCCATGTTTCTACAGTAGCCCAGAAAGGACAAACCAAACACTGGTTCTAGATGGGGCCTTTTGTATTTTTGCAGACACCATAGTTCCTCCTATACCAGTGGTTCTCAACCTGGAGTCCTTGAGGAGGTTCCAGGGGGTCTCCATAAAAATGTGGAATATTTTAATTTCACTATTATTATTATTTTATATTTTTATTTTTTAATGCACTTTTGGGGGGCTTTTATTGCCCTCAATTGACATTGACAGCTGAAAAGCAACAGCAAAGGGCCACAGTCCAGAGCTGAACCCACTGCCAGCTCTACCAGGTGAGCCATCCGGACGCCCCCAATTTCATCTTTTTCAATTTCAAATTTCATTGACTAGAAGTTAGCCCAATGAGAGAATGTACACCGATCATCCATAATATTCTGTATAATGTATATGTTATGCAGCCCCATACCAACAAACTATAAGACTGACTATTCTGTTCATAGGTTTCACACTCTTTACTGTTAATCTGCCAATCTACAGTGTAGACTGTTATGGAATAACTCAATCTTATCAGAAGGGGATCCCTGAGACTACATCTTATCAAATATGCGTCTGTGGCCTGATGTGTATCAATTCACCACTAGATGCCACTAAATCCTACACACTGGACGTTTAAAACTCAAAACTTCATAATGGGACAGAAAAACAGTACTAATAATAACACATTCATAGAATCTGCAATTTAAAAATAGATTTTAAAATCCTACAAAAGCAGTATTTCCATACTGACCTCCTCATCTCGTCATGGTAGAACTCAGACTTGCAGGTCATCATGTGTCTTTGCTCGGGATTGTCGTTCTCTTGGCTTCTAACCCCACCGAACACATAGAGCTCCTGGCCGACACCGCACGCCACCGAACCAAACCTGCCCAGGAAAATAAATGGGAATTAAAGAGACAGGATTGAGCAATATGGATCAGATCTTCAATTCGAAAATATGTTATTTTATTTGGCCATATTAATATATAACAGGATTATAGATATTGAAAACGTGACCATAAAACAGTACATTTTGTGGAATATCTACAGTTGTCTAATTATCTAAGACTTTATAACATTAAAGCAAAAGTCATAAAATTACAACATTGTCAAAAAGCAATCCTGTTTTGCAACATTCCTCACAATGACCTAAAACAACTGGAGAAATATGACAAATTTAGAGAATATAATTAATTAGTTGACAAATTTAGATAATATAATATAAACAGTGTGGTCACTGTATATATTATCACCCACCCCTATTTTGAGATATTAAAAGTTGGACCTATTGGGTTAACACCTAAAGGGGGGGCTGTTCAACTCACAGCTTAGACCAAGAAACAGCCTTTGTGTCGGAGAATTATGACACAAAGGCTATTAACTAATCATGAAGAGAGGCCAGTTTTGACACAATGAGGAATGGGACTACTTATCATCAAAGGTTTCACAGCACAGCCACTAATCCGGAAAAAAACAAGGCAATGTGACAGAGCAAACATGATCAGATCAAATGAATTTTAAATGAATTCTTTACTGCTAGAAGCAAAGTTATAAAGAAGTCCCTTGAAGCAGAGTTATTATTGTTTGGTAGCTTTCATTAGTTTTTAATTTTTGTTGAGTTTAGTTTCAGGTAATTTCCAGAGTGGGTTTGCTCGTTTCAGTTTAGTTTTTATTGTTTTAAAATCTTTAGTTTAGTTTTTATTAGTTTCAGTTTCAGTGTTAGTTTTAGTTTTATTATAATATGTGGGATATTTGTCAGTGGCACCATTTAAGAAGTTCAGAATAGTTTCAACACAAACACACTGACATAGCTGACTTAATTTTTATATGATTTTGGTTAGTTTTTTAAGTATATAACTGACTTAACAGTTAACTAAAATGTTTTTCACACTTAGCCTCAGTTTTAAGGTGAGTTTTAATTAACTATAATACCCTCGCAATGTAGTGATGTTTCAAGCTGAGTTGAGTGGTGTCTACGTAGAAAGGTCACTCTCCTACACACCTGTCAGAGCTCAGTGTATACGTTGGTTTCATTTCAAATTTCATTGTCCATGGTGTCTTTAGCATCCCTAATACATTAATAGTACAACCATTCAAGACAAACCGAAAGACTGAATGTATCTTCACATCTTAATATCACAGGTTCTGCTATGACTAACAAGTGAACATATGACTCAACAGCCTCACTTACAGCTACTTCATCATCTTGAGGAACATTTTGATGTAATTTAAGGGTTGACAAAATGAAAACAAAACTGACAGATGTGGGAGTGCGACAGTGACCATGGAGCCGTGTTTCTTTTCCTGTTGTGCAATACAAAAAAGACCAAACTGAGGTTTAATGTTTGTCCTATATAGCAACTGCGTACAACATGTGACAAAAAGATTTTCAATGGACAGAAACGAGAAGATAACAAGACAATGACATGTGAGGCAGAAAACAGATATTGACTTTAAACTGCTTGGATGTCAGCTGATCCAATCATAGATCCTCTTTCTTTCATGTTCAGACCACAACAGCTAACACTATCAGAAGTTGTCTTTACCTTCTCTCTTTCAGAGGGCAGAGGCCCGTCCACTGTTGGGTTTTGGGGTCAAAGCATTCAACGGAGTCAAACAGCTTTCCGTAGGAGCCCCCACCCATGGCATAGATCTTCTTATTCATGGAAGCGTAGCAGCCGACCTGAGAGAGAAGACAGACACGGCTGTACAAGTTGCAGCATGTGGGTAGAGGTTCACTGTGTCAAAATGAATCCCTTGGTCTAAGTTCTGTTCAATTTCTGAACAAGTCCGCACAAGGGCTGTAATGGCCCTGGGCCCGTTCTGTGTGGTCATTTTAGATACTTTGTTAGTCTACTAGTTTACTATCACACTGTCTAGACAAAGAGAGAGGTCTGGTGTGAGAGAAAAAAAAAAAAAAAAAAGAGGCAATAACCAATTAAGGAGGCAGGAAAAGTCGTTGGTAAAGTTTTGTGCCTCAGGTCTTCCAGGTCGCCCTTCATCTGGACTACTGTTTAGTGCTGAAATTAATAAATAATGAAATATAATTCATATGCAACAATTTTTAGTAGTATTTTTTTGCCTGTATTTTGATATTTCCAAGAAATGAGGGCAGAATTATTTAACACGTTAATGTAAAAAGAAATCAAAGATTCATCAATAATTTTAATTTTAAATAATATTCTAAAACTTCAAACCACTGCTAATAGCCTCTAACTGCTTTATTCAGTGTGTTTAGTGGTTTTAATCAGCAGGTCTGTTTGTTTTGGAGAGGAGGAGACCTCTGTGGATAAGTGGGCTCCCGGCAGAAACATCCTGAACCATGAACACTGAAGGAATCCTAAATGGGAGAAGCTGACTGCAATGACGGCAATTCTCCCAAGATCCCACGCTACTTCACAATTACATTTTGTCTTTTATTGTCATCTTGATGTGACAGACCCCCAAGGGGCAAAAAATACATACTGTACGTTTAAATGATGATACTGATGTGGAAATGCATCAGTGGATTTACTAAGAAAAGCAGTGCAGAGTTACTCGCACTCACAATGCTACAACACCACAAGCTCAGCATGGTGTGTTTGGTCAGTGTGTGGGAGAGAGACGTTGTGTGTCTGTGCTCGGGGAGTCAGGTGTACACAGTTTCGCGGAGCAGTAAACTGCGAATCTAACGGTTAATGCTCAGTATGAATGACAGTTTATCAGAAAATCACCTGTGGTGGAGCCACTGAAAGACCACACTCAGTATTGTGAGATATATTTATCAGATATTCAGATTTTGTTTATTTCAGTGCATTCATTTAGAACGGTAAACAGACAGTTTCACTGGAACTACTTAACAGGAATAAATCGACACCCAGCAGCCAATCAGAATCAGAGTATTCACCCAGACCATAATGTCTATTAATTGTTACAGAGATTTAACGTAACAACTAATTATGACTGATTTTAGGTGATGTTGCCCAGCTCTACTGTAGATCTGATATTACAGCATTACATTTAATAATAAAGTGGGGATTTAAGACCTATGTTGTGACACTATTATGGTACATGTTCTGCTGTTCTGTGAATGTGATATTTGCATGCGTGTTGTTACCTTGCGGATCATGGTCATGCTGGTCTGCATTTTCCAGGTATTCAAGTGAGGGTCAAACACTTCAACAGTGATCAGTTCCGTTGCTTCATTCTCTCCTCCGAGAATGTATATCAGACCGTCCAGCTCGACCACACCAAAGTTCTGACGAGCCTACGTACATCAGTGACATGATGATCAAACCACAGAAATGTCCCATGACAGAACCACCAAGAAATATACTTTTGTTTCTTTTGCTTGGCTTTTATGTCTCAGTGTATGTTGATTTGCTTTTAAGGTAGTGGTTTACAATCTAAATCTTAATATTGCAAACCAGGGTTGAACCTGTTTTGCAGCACTGCTGACACCTAGTGGTCATGAAGTAAAATAACAAGAATATATAAACATAATGTAACATGGCTGCAGAAACATGCTTTGTATGATGGACTGATGATTTATCCTCCAAAAAATAAAAGAATAAATAGCAGCAAACTCAGACAGAAATTCTACTGCAAAGATCGCCCTCAGCTGTTTATATGCTTATGATGGAGGGATACTTCTAACTGCTGAAACCTGAGGAAAAGTGTGGTCACAAAAAGGGGAGAGTATACCTGCAGCATTGGGGGTATGGGGCTCCAGGTGTTGGAGTCAGGGTCATATTTCTCTCCACTGTCCAGGACTGTGCTGTGTTCGTCTGTTCCGCCCATCACAAACAGAAAACCCTCTAACAGACAGGAAATGCAATGTTAATACTGACTCTACTACAGGAATTCTCTTCAGCCCTAATCCTGATGAAACAAAGGTTTATTGAAGTAATTCCTGACATGGGCTAAAGATGTGTTATCTACATCACTTCAGTTGTGGTGGATGCACTGTCCTGGCCTAAGCCCAGCACTGACCGGCAGCGACCACCCCGTGGCCGAGGCGGGCTACACTCATTGGCTGCAGCTCGATCCAGGCCTGTCTGTTGGTGTCGTAGAGCGGACACATGCAGTGCGTCACAGCAGTTGGCTTCCTGGTTCTGTACAGGACAGAAAACATTATACCAGACAGGATGTGAGCCAACAGTGTGATCAGGGTCAGCTAAGCACTACTTCAGTGGTTGGTCTATAGTGTAGATTGGCAGATTAGCAGAGTATGAACCCTATAAGCAGAACAGTCATTCTTATACATTCTCTCATTGAGCTAGCTTCTAGTTAATGAACCCCCTGGAAACCCCTCAAGGACCCCAGGTTGAGAACCACTGCACTAATTCAACCTCTTCCTCTGGTGAGACCACATTTCACAGTAAAATATACACCATTATTTTCTCTGTCACTGAGGGCTAAATCTCTGGCTCTCTCTAAATGACAGAAAACAGCCACATAACAACTAGGATTCAAGTGGGTTTTAAAAGGCAAGTTCTTATGATTCTGTGTTGAAACCGCTTAGAATGTACAGGTTTTCAGAAATTCTGTAAATTTAAACTGTTTTTGTGGAGTGAAGTGGTAAACCTTTTGTAGGTAATTACGGGACACTAAAGATTGTGAATAGTAATGCTGGTGATAAATAATTATAATAATAATCCAAGGCCTTGTTTACAGCATTAACCTGCATCATGGGGGATCTGATCACAAGTGGACAGTTCTGAATACTGATGTGAATGCACCCAAAACACACTTGAGGACACATTGAGATCCGATTGCTCAGACCACATTCGGAGGTGGTCTGGGATGCATGTGACCACATTCTTTTAGCAGGATGTACGTAAATGTGTACTGGGCCACATTGTTGGACAGCCTACTCAACTGACACATGAAACACGCTGTCTGATTTCCATTTTGTTCACTGCACTGTGAACAATGTCACCCAATGGCTTGTTGAGTATCGTTTTGAAGCCTTGAGTTTGGTATTATGGCTGCCGCCATGTTGTTTTTTTTAAGCTGCCTGGTTTGACAGTTTGATCTGAGTTTGGTGCGTTGAGCTCACTGAGAATTACTTATTTTATCATCCATTTTACTCTAAATGGGACCATAATATACTAAATGAACATCATGCTGTATGAAAGAAGACTAAGACCATAAATGGTAAACATGTCAAAACATGTCAAATTTGACAAAGTAACCAATATATGCTACTTCTTTGTCACCTGTGAAGAAAGTCTCCAGACTCCCTTTTTTGTGACTTGTTGAGTTGGGAGAAACTTTATAAACTTTGTAATGCTCTGTCCAAGACAAATTCTTCATTATTTCAGCCTTCTTGAAAATTTGGCATTTTTGCAACATTATACATTTAGTTTCTTTTGTGTGTCCGTTTGTCCCAGCGTGTAAGCTACTACTGTTGGGCCGCCATTTAAAAATAAGTTTAGTCTTTGCAAAAATAAATGATGTACGTGTTTATTTGCATGTGAAGTAGAGCTGGGAAGTGAGATCTGATCACAAGTGGCCACACCAGACACATGCAAAGACGCACTGTAATGTCAGGTGTTAACTGGTGTACTTTGAGCTGTCCACTTGTGCCAGGTATAAACAGGGCTCAAACACAATATAAAAGGTTAAAAAAGATGGCGGACAGTGACTTACTTGCGGTCCTCTCCTCCGGCGACAACTATACACTCTGAGTAACCTCTGGGTTTGAAGGCAGCAAGCAGAGCCTCACCCTGCAGAGCCCCAGCACTCAGCACCGGCTGACAGTACTCTCTGATCACCTCCCTCATCAGCGGCTCCCCCATGGCCTGATGGGATACCAAGTTGTTACTCTGTTGATTCTATAAAGCAGACATTTGAAATGTGGAGCGCTCTGTACAGTTTCCCTACCTGCTCTCTCAGGTAACTGACATCCAGGCCTTGCAGCCATACTGCAGACATCACTTCCCTCATGTGGACCTGCGAATACAGGGAACAGGACTCACATTTTAATGACATTAAACGTCAAATTTGACAAACACAGTAAACAGTAACCAATAAAGGCCACTTCTTTGTCACCCGTGGAGAAAGTTCCCAGACTCTCTTTAAAGATCTCACAGTTTTGTGAGTTGTTGAGTGAGGAGAAACTTTAGAAACTTTGTGAAACGCTGTCTTCATCAAATTCTTAATTATTCAGGCAAACATTATACATTTAAACATGGTAGATCTGATGATATTCATACTGTGCAGAAATGAATGGAGACCAATGGATGCCTTCAAAGAAAATGCTTACATTTCTACAACACAAAAGTATGTCTGCAAAACACTGCACTGTATGTGATTTTTTTATTCTAAATGGGTTAAAACATGAATAACCACTGATATGGTCTTGTAAGAGGTTACCCAGAAAAACATCTTAAATGCTAAATATCTGAAGATAACTCTCATTTTCTAGAAATCAAATATATTTCATGGATCACTAACCATAAAAAGATCATAAAACCAGCTTATCAAGTCAACCTTTTGGTTCATCAAACTCAAAGTAAGAGTGGGTAAACCAACGTCCTGATCTATCCTTAAAATGAACTTTACTGCTATAATGTGATATATTGCATTGCCTTTTTATTAAAAGCTTTAACACTGAAAATGTTGTTGCAGCCAGTAAAATGTATTATTATTTTTCTCATCAGCAGTTGCTCAGTTTGTTGCTGGTCTGCATTTTTCATGACCTCTCTTATCTTCACACTGAACCTACAGTGAGCGTCACCCACCCTGCGGTCCTCTGGGTCGTGCGCGAACCATCGCACCACAGCCTCCAGCACGTGCCTTTCGTTGCCCACGTTCAGCTTCTCCATGGCCAACACCTCGCAGAGCCGGTCCAGGGGCAGCTCCCTGAACTCCTCGGAGAGCGCCACATCGCCAAAATGTGTCTGCAGAAACTCGGTGGCGGCGTAGTGGACGTGGTACAGGCAGTAGTGCAGAGAGAAGAGCCGGATGCCGATGCAGTTCTCTGCAGTGATGCAGCTCTCTAAGAACTGGCAGCAGAGGGACTTGAGGTCAGTCATGAGGAGCATGTCGGACGCCTGCACCATGTCCTGGATGGTCTCTTCACTCAAAGTGATCTGTGTGTGAAGGAAAGACCCACACATGCAGGTGGTGAGACAAAGAGGAAGGTAGGGCAATACAGGCCAAATGGATACCCACAACAATATATAAGGATGGGCAGGAGACCACACCTAAAAATCTCAGCATGTCACTTTGCTTTCTAAAGCCTCTGCACTCACTTCACCGCTGAAGATATACTCCAGGATCTCTTTCATGATGGCCATGGAGACGCCCTGCAGCTCGATTCTGTACGTAGACCCATCTTCCTTTGGAGGATTGTAGTTCAGCTTGGTCCTAACAGGAAACCATTAACACAACTCAATACGACACACATGAAAATCAAAACTAGAAACCTGAAGTACTTTGTGAAAGTGGACACACCAGTGTTGCTTTAACACTGTAAACACCCGTTAAAGATAGCAAATGCATGATCTTATCTGGGCTGGTGTGACTGGCTCTGTGCTGGAGACCAGGGCAAATAGTCACTGATAGGTTGTCTGACCTGATATAAGGGCTAGCAGCAGCCAGGATGTTTTTCTGGACAGGCAGCTCCTCCCCATCCACCACCAGCAGCGCATCGTGGAAACTGTGCTCTTGCCAGAAGACGCGCAGCACCCTGAGGAGTTTCTGGGAATGTTGTGGGTCCGAAACTTTCGAACCGGTTTCACACTCAGAATGGGGCATGTCTATGCTTGACTGTAAACAAATAAACAGGGAACATTCATCAGTTCGGATCGCATTAAACAGGACACACAACACTAATTATATAAAAATTGGCTTATGAACAATTGGTTCATAGGCTGCTCATCTAATCAGCCATCTACAACAGTGGTTCACAACCTGAGGGTTGGGACCCCCACTAGGGTCGTGAGGGCATCTTAATTTTAAGGGGTGCTAGAAAACTTAAAAAAAATATACACAGTAGGCCTATATCTCAGTATTTTGTTCACTTCTGTTAAAGAGAGTAAATTATCTAACAGAACAAAGGCCAAGCATCAGGGAGAATATAACCTATTAAAATTGCAGTAGGTCATTTTTATAAAAATTACTTTTTGTCATATTCACTGAAACTTTCACTATATCCTGACAGTAGAACATGAGACAGATAATCTGTGAAACAATCAGATTCCTCTGGCTCCTCCTAGATCTCCTAATGGTATATGTAGAATCCACCGGGCCTGATTGAAAACAACCAATCAGAGCCAAGACAGATAGAAAGACGCTTTGAGCTGGTGGCCTGAAGACGGTTGATTGTTGTTTCATTCCCAGCATTAATATTTGGAAATGAGGAACCTGATCTTTTCACAGATTATCTGTCTGATGTATTTCTGTAAGGATATAGTACAAGTTTCAGTAGATGCGACAAAAATAAATAAATATAAAAGGTACCTACTGCAGCTTTAAGTATGTGTGACTGTTACAATACATAATACAGACAGAATGGTATAAAAAGTTTCAAGTTAAACAGGAAATAATCTGCTCAAAATTCATCAGAATCACTCATTTTAGACAAACTTCTTGCAATTCACTGTTAATGTTGAATACAGTTTTGAATATAATATGATACATCCATAACCTGATGTTTACTCAATGATAGAAAATGGGTCCCTTATGGAAAAATGTTGGGAACAATTGATCTCCAACAACACACCACAGTGGGCAGTGGCGAGCTGTAAACAACATTCACACGTTCAAATGTAACTGAAATACTCTTCAGTGAATCACTTGTAAGATGAATATTGTGGAAAAATTACGATTCATCTTGTGACTCTGAAACTGACAGGTTTCTAAATTAAGTTTGACGAAGCTGTTGGTTAAAATGGTGCGTTAGGGCTAGGCTAGCAGCAAAACACCCGTCGGTAAACAACGTGTCAAAGACGACACAGTATCGGTAGCAATGGCATTTACAGTTCAGCAGTGAAGATGGTAACTTAGCTAACGTTAGCCTACTCTCCAAATTACTGGCAAACGGTTAGAGCTGCAAACACACTAACGTAGGACTGAGCCCCAGGACTGTATGTTTACAATGGTTTAAACTTGTTATGTCATGTTTTCTATGTTAACAATTCAAGTTTACTCTTGTTAGGTGTCTTACCTGAAGACTGTGAAATGCGGTTTTCTTCTTTTATGGTCACAGGGCTGTACCCAACTACATTTAGGACAACATGAATGACTCCATGCGAGAATGTTGCAAGTGGACGTCAAGACATGTATCATGCTGCCTTAATGTAAAAAGAAATATAGTAAATAAGAGACTCCAATATTAATATACAGTTGTATGCATGTTAATATATAATTGTATGGGCAACATGACTAACTAAAGATAATACGAGACCATTCCGTGATTAAAGCTGTACAAAAATACAACTGATTAGTTGAATAACTTTAAATAAGCTAAGTAACAACTCGCCTTTTATTGTCACAGCCGTTTCCAGTGAATTCATCTAACACCTGAATGCAGCATCAGCTAGGCGGAAGGCGTGTACATAACAGCGTCCCAATACTTACAGAGAAACCTTTGTGCCATCAGAATTGTGGATAAGTTACCTGTATGGCGTATTTTACTACAGTTATATAACGGAATTTGTGTAGCCTGTCTTTGCAAACTAAGACAAATAAAACGTAGCCGCGTGTTCATTGTCTGGGTTTCGAAATTGATATACAAAGTGAGAATCAAAAAGAAACTGAACGCGGCCACGAAACCTAACTGCCGGCATAAAGCCAGCAAGAATTCTCCCAAACCGCATTTCCGGTGTGAGTACGAGCTTTTTGACCAACTAGTAGTGCTGGTATGCTTTTCTGTAACAAAAATAAATGAAATAATAAATCTTATTTTCATTGTATTTATTATACGGCCATACGTGTCTGTTCAAGAGTACATAAGACTATTATTTGCGCTTTTATTTTGAAGGAAAAGTCGTCTATCCACTTTTATCTCTCGGTAACTTGAAACAACAGTCGCCGCCATAACTTTGGAGAAACGTAAACATCGTATTAAGGTAACGTTAATAATGCTGACTACTTGTGTAGGCTATGATGTTATTGTGCTGTGATAGATAAGATAGAATTGTACAACATTGTTTAAAAACTGTCCGTACTGGAGATAATGTGCTAGTCGTAGCACAAGTTTTTCGCGCTTGAATGATTAACCAGATAGCAACTCCTCAGATACCGACACACATAACGTTATGGACAACGGTGATTTAACGTTAACAGTAATGTGAGTCGGTGTTCAGTCGGTGTGTGTCTGATCCACCAACCAGCACTTTGAAACGATCCGCCTCTCGTTCCAACACTTTTTTCCCACTGAAAGAGCGCAGCTACAACAAAGGCTGAACGCGCTGAGGTGACAAAATCTAAAGTTTATACAGAATACAGTTTATCTTTATGGAATATATTGATGCCGAATTGACAAGAAGACCGTAAACAAATAATGGACTTTAGCTTGTGTTTCTAGAGTAACGTGTTTTGACGCACATTTTAGGAATGTGTTAAAATGTGATATTTCTTAAAGGGAGTTTGGTGCAGGGAGCTCATAGTGGAATTCAAATTGATAATATGTATAATTGTTGGACGTTTTGTCACCACCACGCAAACACAAGGTACCCTTTAAAGTGTGTATGTTTATACTACTTTTCTAATTAAACTTGATGTGCTAGTTATTAATGACTCCTGATGAGATGTAGCTTGGCTGTGTAAGATCTTGTAGTGTGTGTTGCTGAGCAGTCAGTAGTGTGCAAACCACGACTCTGCCACTTATAAGACTGAAAGTTGCGTAATGTGAACAGTACAGTGATCTGACGACTAGTGTGTCTTTCGTTTGTAGCTCCCATGGTGATGCTGTGATGGAGGAACTACTGATCATCGTAAATGTTTGTCAGACGGAACGTTACTGAAGACACACAGTTTGAAAGCTACAAACATGCCTCGGCCTGATCGGAGCAGACTGTCTCCTTGGATAGAGAGTCTGATCCTGAGCTATGGCGGTGAGGAGGGGAACAGCAGCAGCAGTGGGCGGCTGAAGGCTCATGTCATCGGGGTGGGTCAGATGTCTCAGTCCCAGGCTCAAGGTTCTGAGAGCCCCACAGGGCTGCTCTTCCTCTCCGACGGGGTCCTCCAGATCCCTGCCATCCTCACTGTATCCGCCTGGGAGCATCTTCAGGAGCAGGAGGACCGCGAGTGTTTCACCAGTCTGCTCAACACCACAGTGTGCATTCAGGACTACCGGCTGCAGTTCCACATGGCCCCGGAACAGACTAAATGCAGATTCTTCTTATCAGTTGGAGAGCTGGCTACCACTGCAGCCGGGCCAGTTAAAGAAAGCACCCCTTGCTGCACAACGCTGCCCTCCGTCAGGCTGAAGATCTGTAAGACGTGGAGGGACCTGCTAGGTCAGGAGACGCAGGATTCTCAGAAGAGCCAGTGTGGGTTTGATCTGTCTGAGCTGCTGGGGGAGTGGCAGCATGACTGTCTGCAGAACGTTCTGGTGGATGTTAGGGAAAGGCTGATGGTAGTGAGCGGCCGCCCTGTGAGCCCGCAGCCCTCCACCTCGAATACCACCTCATTGGTGACCCACCCTGACACATTCCCTGCCACGAGCTGGGATGTTGAACGAGTCAGATTTAAGAGGGAGAAATGTTTCACTGTCCCCATCAAGTGTCTTCTCATCCCAGAAGAAGATGCTCAGCAGCTGCAGACTTCAAAGAATATTGGAAGCAGAACTGTCACCTCTGAGGACAGACAGAAGGATTTACCACAAGTCTGCAAACCTTCAGAGACCGCACAGCCTTCTGTTGATGATGCAGAGTGGCGGATACCCAAGCCAGTGGGTGTAGAGACGGGTCAGGACGTCAGCCAGAACTCACCTCTTCCTGCGGAGGACAGCCTGCTGGATGATGACATGATCGCCGGGGTGATCGACAGTGACATCAGACCTTTATCCAACCCTTGGGACCTTTTTCCTCCACCAGGTGACACCTGCTCGTCCTCCGAAGCGTCCCCAGAAGCAACACCGACCCGCTCATTGCACAATCCCACTGCTGCTGAGTCCAAGCCGGATCACGCTGCAATCTTAACCAGCACGCAACGTCCTGTCCACAGCCCGAAGGAATCCCGGCAGACTTCAGAGCACAGCAAAGGAGAGCACAGCTACCTTCCACCGTACCAGAAACCGCCAAACTCAGCTAGCCTCTCCGCCTCTGCTGGCTCTTCAGCTTCAACTTCTGCCAGTCCACCGGAACCGTCAAAGCTGTATCCTGCCACAGATGAACAGCGCGCGGACACAGTACAACAAAATCTTCCTGCCTTGGACCAAGAAAGTAAAACTTTGGAGAAGGACATGGAGGCTGTTGGAGGAACATGTAGAAAAGCAAAGAGAAAGAGAAGTGAACCCACACCAGAAGCACAAACCACCTTAGCGGATGAGGAAGAGGAGGAAGCTCAGCTCAGTGGCAGTCCTCCATCTTGGCTCTTTGACACTCAGGCGGGCTCCAGGGCCAATGAAGGCAGCAGTCACCACCAGGGTCAAACTGAAGGGACTGTCTTGAGACAAACCCCCACCATTCACAGCGATGGCAGGCCGTTCTGTTACTCTTACCAAGTGTCCGGACAGAATCTGCAGGATTTCAGTCGGTTCAAGGTTGCTGAATCCTGGCTGCACTGGGCGGTGAAGTATCTTGTTGTTCCAAAGCAGACTGAAAATCCACACAACACGGAAAACAGAACCTCCAATCAAACGGCATCTGACAGGACGGAGGTCACCTCTCTTTAGGTTCAAAACACACATTTAAGCTGGTCTTTTATTGTTTCAGTTGCAGGGGCGGATAGAGTGATATTCGTGGGGTGTCTAGAGGGTGTCAGAAATATATGCTAATTTAATCACAAACAGTCCCATATGTCAATATTTGCTTGGAAAAGCCCCAAAATGAAGATATCGAACTCAAAAACATGACTGTTGCACATTAGTCAGACATTTTTCCACTGAACTTAAGCCTATCACCATATCTATAAAATGACAGACCACTAAATTATATGTCTTCATTTCAGTTTTTTAACATGTTAGTTTTTAAATGAATCTAAGATGGCCAGGCATTTTTTAGCCACCCCTCTAGATCCGTCCCTGTTCAGCAGTTGTTTTCAGCCTGTTCACTCATGTTCCAGGGCAGCTCTGTATTGTTTATTTTGTACGGTACGAGCAAAACCTTTTTTGTAAATTAATGTTGGTCCACGCTTACTGTGAAACATTTTAAGCTTGTTGAGCATAAATAAACTAAAAAAAAAAGTTGATTTGCTGTCTTGACTAAACTAGAATAATTTGACAACAAACTTGACTGGACATCTCTATGTACTGAAATGTTTTAAATATTATTGAGAAATGTGTATTGTTCAACTATGAAACAAAACCAACATGGGACCAATGATTTTCCTTCATACTTTCTTTTTTGCCAGCCTGGAAGTTAAATGGGCTTTAAAGGTCCAGTGTGTGACATTGAGGAGGATCTATTGTCAGAAATAGAATATAATATTCATAGGTATGTTTTCATTAGTGTATCATCACCTGAATAAAGGGATCGTGTTCTTGTTCCTTTGGCATGAAATATTTTTATCTACAGACTTGTTGCCATGGAGTCCACCATGTACCTACCGTAGCCCCGAAGGGGCAAACCAAATATTGGCTCTAGATTGGAGAGTTAGCGTTCATGTCAATTTCAGCAAGTGTGACAAGTTATTTTAATAAAAATGAGCTACTGCAGCTTTAACTCCTATGCAGTGCATGCTTGGAAGTATGCTAATATCACTAACTATAGAGTCCTCAGAAACATAACAAGTTGCAGGACGTGTCAAAGGTCAGGATTCGTCCGAAAATGGTCTGAAAATAACTAAACTAGAATATTAAGGTCACTTGAAATGTATTAGGCGTAGATATTATATGCAGTAATGTTAAAAGATGAGCTGATGTCACCAAGTTCCTGTGTGATGTTTTACCTTTACTTCGTCACATACACCAATCGCATCATGAGCACCTGGGCACCCTGGTGGTCAGAATGTTCTGCAGCCCCATACCAACAGACTCTGCTGCACTGTGGGTTCTGACCCCTTTCTATCAGAACCAGCATTAACTGTTTCAGCAGTTTGAGCTACAGTAGCTCGTCTGTTGGATCAGACCACACGGGCCAGCCTTCACTGCCCACCTGCATCAGTGAGCCTTGGCCCCCCATGACCCTGTCTCTGGTTCTTTTCCTTCCTTGGAGCTCTTTTGATAGGTACTGACCTCTGCAGACCGGGAACACCCCACAAGAGCTGCAGGTTTGGAGATACTCTGACCCAGTCGTCTAGCCATCACAATGTGGCCCTTGTCAAAGTGGCTCAGATCCTCACGCTGCCCATTTTTCCTGCTTCTAACACATCAACTGGAGGACAAAATGTTCACTTACTGCCTGATATAGCCCACCCACTGACAGGAGACATGATAACCAGATAATCAGTGTTATTCACTTCACCCGTCAGTGCTCTCAGTGTTATGACTGATCGGTGTATACTGTAATGTAATGCAACATGTACCACTAAGCAGTTTTCTGTTTGTCCAGATGGTGTCAGCAAATACACAAATTTGTGGCTTAGTAATGGGATAAAGCTGAGAGGTTCAGTGCAGAGTGAGGGTTTGAATGCAGCAGGAAAACTTTAGAAATGAACAACATTTAAGGGAGTCTTTAATCATGATGTCTTGGACATAGGATTTATGTGATTACATCCTGCCCTTACAAACTATCTGAAGCTCATCTAAGTGACCCAAGACATAAGACAGGCGGCCACCCCCCTGTAAGTGTGTGTGTGTTTGTGTGTGTGTGTGTGTGTGTGTGTGTGTGTGTATTTATTTATACTAGGGTTTGACTGATTTTGAAGGAAAAGCTCTTGATAGCTTGTTATGAATGAGGTCATTTCAAAATAAGATCATTTCAAGAATTGAGGATTTAAAGGAGCCTGTGTCACTTTTTCTGAACAGCAGCTTCTGAGGCCACATGAGGCTTTTAAAGGACAATGGTAAATGCTAAAATGTAACGTAACAGTAGCATATTCATAGATTGTGACATTTTTAATGCAGCAAAAGGAGTAGAAAAACCATGTCATTATTGTTATATACTATATACTATTTGTATATATGTCTTAATACATGTCGGGAGGGTATCTTTAACATTTCGCTATTTATTGTAGTCAGTTTAGAGATAACTTGATAAACTCTCTGCCTTTCAGGTCATAATTTGTTTAGACTCAATCCCTCCAGGAAGTTGCAATTTTGTGATCGCAACAGTTAACATAAATTCAACCAATTCAACGCAAGTTTTCAACAAATTCACCCAATCACTGTAGAAATGTTGACCCCTTACGAGCCAGTTTGCAGCCTTAGATCCTCAAGTGGGGCCCTTCTGGCTATTTCAAAGTCGAGCCTTAAACCTCAAGGTGACTGTGCTTTTGCCATCAGGGCCCCCAGGGCTTTGGAATGACCTGCCTGAGGAGATAAGGTTTATAGAATCAGTTATTCTATCTATTTTATGTTTAGAGCTTTTATTCTGCTCTTACTATATTATATTTTTGGTATTCATTATTTATAACTTTTAACTATATTTTTATGTATCACGGCTATTACTTTGCTTCATTAGTCAAAGCACTTTGTTTGTTTGTTTTAAAACGGGGCTATATAAATAAAGTTATTAATGTTATTATTAGTTGGCTGCGAGTTTCACTGATCATAGCAGTGTCGCAAAATGCTGAGCCATACATCACCAAGCTGCTAGCGGTTTTATTTTCACTATAAGCTGCTTTTGATTTTTTGGAGGGGAAAAAAAAGCTATTTGGTCTGGAAATTTTAACTTTCTTCCACAATGTAATTGCAAAAAAAGCTTAAACACATCATGACATGCATTGCAATTTTTCTGCCGACATCCCAGAAGAGGCCCTCTGTGCCCTCTGTGCATCCATAGATGGTACAGTGAGCTGGGGAGAAACCTGGCTAATCTGCTAATAACATATTTGAAACATTACTCAGGTTTTGCAAATTATCTGATTTTATGCATCTTTAAGGCTGCAGCAATAACACTGGAATAAGTGGTTAATAGCCCTTTTAAAAACTCCAACTGCTCACATCATAGGCTCATACGTCAAGTAAACTGGCTCATAAACATTCTTGCATTAAAATGAACTATTAATATAAATTTTAAAAAAGTGTCCTCTGCAGTATAGATTAAAAGAACTTTCCAGCAGATGCCCTTAGAAAATGTCAAACCCTGCTTGCTGTGGCTTGTACATGTCTTATACTTGCATGTTAGTTTAGTTTATTTGCTAATGAATCAGCGTCTGTGGAGGGAGAAACAGAGAAAAGACCGACTTCTGAGTTTATCCACTGAAAGCTCCAAACCCCTAATGTAAGCAGGAGCCAGCTGTGCGCACTTGTAAAGTTGTTATAATCCTCCTTTGACCTATAAACAGGAAAATACATAATATAAAGCATCATGCTCACATCTACAAATAATACACTGTCCGTGTTGTCCTTGTAAGGCAATACAGTCCAATACAAGTGCCAGCCTGCAGCTTCTCAAAGGACAATTAAAACACTGTTTCATTTAGTTCAGATTTGATACAAAGAGCCAATATCAGTGAGCAGAGTCACCATCAGTTACATATGGCTATTTCCCACTGTGTAATTGTATTATGTGTAATGTAATTGAGCATTTTTGTTATTATAACGGAGAGCAAAAATCAAGCAAGAAATTCCAGGAACTGGGGGCGTCCAGGAGCCCTTTGCTGCACGTAATCCCCTCTCTCTCTCTCTCTCTCTCTCTCTCTCTCCTCACTTTCCTGTCTATCTTCAAGCTGTCACTATCCAAATAAATGCATGAAAAAAATAAGTATAAAGAACAGTCAGGAATCTATCTCTAAAATGACACACAGTCAACTGTGGCGTTTAGGGCCCCGGAGCATTTGTCCCTTTTGCCCAAATGCTATAATCGGTTCTTGTTGTTGTTCAATATCTGTGGGTTTTATACTTTTTTCAGAAAAAAACATCAATTTGAACACAAAAAGCATAAATAATAATAACAATAAAGAATTGCCAGGAATTTATCTGGAATACAAAACCATCCAGACCCCGAATTCCCTCTGAGAGTGAACAAAATTATTTATAACAGGGGTTTCAAGCTCAAATTGGCTTGGGGCCACTGCTGGTATTGTCATCTCATAGGAGGGCCACTTCAACGTTCAGGTACTACAAGAAAACTCAATATTCTGGAAATTTTTCCTATTGCTAACATCACATATAAAAGGTGACCCGCTCCCTCTGTAGATACAAACAGCTCATTCTAAGGTAACAAAAACACAATGATTCTTATTTTCAGGTGATTATACACAAATGAAAATATACCTATCAATATATATGTTCCATTTCTGAGTGTAAGTAAAACACACAAGGCTGTAAAGGTAGACTAGAGAGTAGATAAGTGTTTGGTGGGCTGACGTTTAATGTCACTGACAACCTCTGGAGTCTCATTTAGCCACTTGTTAGCTTTTTTAAGACACGTAAAAGCTTCAAAATTTACAGGTGGGATATTTTTTTAAATTATTTATGACGTAGAAGAAAACCTCTTAAAATCTCTTAAGCTTGTGTTAGCCACAGATCTTATTTCTGGCATCTTACCAAAAACCCATTGACCAAGACGTGCAAACTGAAGGTGCTAAAATGCTAACTCATTTCCGGATGCAGATATTCAGCAGCAGTGTGTCTGATATGTCTTTTACATAAAAAAGGGATAACTTCTACATTAAAATCCTTAAACAGTAATCTCCCCCTTCTACCTCAATAAAACCTCCAGAATATATAAACGTTGTTGATTTCTAAAGTTTTGCTGCTGGACACAAGATGTCTCCTCCTTCACTGTAAAGTCCATTCTCAGTGGATGTTCACTGGTGGTTTCTACATCACACTGTACAAGTTGATACTGATATATATAATTCCAGTTTGTTCCATTCACTCATTATCTTTCAGTTGACTTTATATCATTATAAAAATGGAAGCCCTAAAGCCCCCAAATGAATTAGCATTAATGATTTTGATAACTGATTAATTGTAATTAATTAATTAATCAATTAATTACAATTAATCAGGTCAGCTGTTTTGACAGGTAATGTAATGATTTGCTTTAGATAAGAAAACTGAGTAAATTCAATTTAAGTGCATATGAATGTAATCTACTTACTAGTTTTAAGTTTAATTAACTGTAAGAAATTGGTACAATGAACTTTATTTACCCATGTTACCTTAACAATAAATATTGAGTTCCTTGTACTCAAATCAAATATTGTTTCATGTTTAAATTGTTGGAGGCAATACATTTAAATGGTTTCAAGCGATTGGCATCCTTAAACAATTTGAGTTAAACTAACTCATCAGGTTCAACAGTGCAACTGAGAAAGCACTGATTTGTGACTGGAGGGGCGCTTGATTTTTTGACCCTTTTCACATTTAAAGATGAAGATAAAATAAATGTAAAAACTCAAGTCATTGAATTAAATATGAAATGTGAAATTTTACAAACATTATGGTGCATATTCAAACATTTCTTATAACAGCAACCATATTAATTATAAACATTATTAAATATGAATGATAAGGTAAATAATACTTCCACAGTGATAATGTGTATAAAGCAGCAGTAGAGCTGCACCAGTGTTATTGTGATTATTATTGTCAGTCATCCATCATTTACTGTGTCCTCAGATATCCTTTGAATAAAAGTGCTGTTTGCTGTAGAATCACCTCCTACACAAAAACAACCCCTCTGCGTCCGTTCGGTCGGACTGGAGGCAATAACAGGGCCTGACAAGAGTTAAAAGAAATTGTTTCAGTTATTTTCCCTTTTATACACTTTGTTTTCATTTGAGCGAACCCACAGCAACTCCCAGAAAGGGCTCTGCAATGTTTGCTTGTTCTCTCTGTGTGAGCAACTCTCAGCGTCAGGGGTGGACGTGATATTTCAAACAGCACATCAGTGCGTTTATGTATTGGGTGCCCGGAAATTTTTCCAAATAAACACAGCTTGATTCAACCTGGGTGGGCAGACTTATCAAGCGACTAATTCTATAAACAGATGAGGGAATAACCCGGCACCTCATTGGTTGCTGGGCAGAGGGGGGGAGACATGAGGGAGTTTCAGCGCAATGAAATTTTAATTAATGTGGGTGGGCTGAGAACACCACCGACTGTTTATGATGGACAATTTATTTCCCAGTGCAAAGTCAACATAACACAGCAAACGTACAACAATTATTAACATTTTCTGGGGCCCTCATGAGGCTGGGGAGTCAGTCGGTGGAGGAGAGGAGCTCCGGGAGCAGGCTCAACTTTCCCCGGGACACACTTCGGCGCCATGACTCTCTACCACGGCCGTCTGTCGTCGCTCGGAGTGCCGTCCTCGGCTCTGAGCCTCTCCGGTCCCCCGCTCATCTACTTGTACGGAGGGGACAGCGGAGGGGTGATGTCGGCGGGTTTGAGCTTCGTGCCGGCCCGCCAGGAGCCTCCACAGAAGCCGCCCTACAGTTACATCGCGCTTATCGCCATGGCCATCAAGAGCGCACCGGAGCAGCGCGCAACGCTCAGCGGCATATACCAGTTCATCATGGACAGGTTCCCCTTTTATCACGACAACAAGCAGGGCTGGCAGAACTCCATCCGCCACAACCTCTCCCTGAACGACTGCTTCATCAAGGTGCCTAGAGAAAAGGGCCGGCCCGGCAAAGGCAGCTACTGGACGCTGGATACCAAGTGCCTGGATATGTTTGAGAACGGCAACTACCGCCGGAGGAAGAGGAAGGCAAGGAGCCAGCAGGAGGCTGTGGACTCCAAAGCCACTCCACACAGGCGCACCAAGGGCCCGGGGCCATCCAGGGACCCTCAATCCTCTCTGAAACATCAGGCTGGCTCGGGGATAGCGGAGGTGCCAGCGAGGCGGGATGCGGAGAGGATGGAGACACCGCCAGACACTAAAGCTGTTCTAGTCGAACAGCCGCAAAATCCCCCCATACAGAGACTTAAAGTATCCCCCAACCAAGACACCCTTGCGTCCACCGGAAGGAGGCTTGACACCCCCGGGCCTGAGCCATGTCCCCCTCCGAGACACGCTCCGTTGTGGATGGACGGTGCGCATCTCCCTGACGCGTCCCTCCGCCGGGAGCCAGAGGAGAGGAGGTCAGCGTTCAGCGGAAGAGAAAGAGAGAGAGGTCCGCTCTGCGCCGTCAGCTGCGCAGGAAACACAAACTTGGCAAACAGACCCAAAGGAAATGTTCCGAGCAGGGATAAATTGAAAGGTTTTAGCATCGAGAGTATCTTATCAAAAAGTGAAGACGAAATGCGCGGCAGCATCCGCGGTTTGACAACGGAGACAGAGCGCCAGAGCCCCTCTTTCAGTTCTTCTGTGGTCCTCGGAGCTCGACCGCATCAGTTGTACCAGATGGGATTCCCCTTCTGCTCTTACATGTCACTCACATACCCTGATAAAGTACTGCATTTGAAATAAGTACAGTTATGTATTGGATGTGTTTTACGCACAGATGCGTAAAAGAGTAACGTCTGTAATTAGCTTTGCATGATGCGTTACTGTGAGACAGCTTACTGTTCTGCTCTTTTCAGCCGCTCCGTCATCTTCATCATGTACAGTAATGTTCAGACAGTGACAAGGAACAGCAGGGAAGCCTTTACATTCATTTTTACGCATGCGCAATTGTCAGATTTTTGGTTATTTTTTTACCAGTTTCCCAAACTGTTGCTCCTCAAAGTATACGGCTGCGCAATGTAATGCTTAATACAACACAAAGGCAAAAGTATATAAGGATGTTGTCATTGTCACGTGATCACGAGCATTTCTCTCTTCATTCACGACGATGGAAACCATTAGAGTGAATGTGTTTGCGGAATTCAGTGAAGAATCTTGAATGTGACGGCCTGTGTAGCCTATACAGTATATTGGATCTCTGAGGAAGCCGTACATACCAGAATAAGTTTAGTACTCAGTAATGTAATCAAATGCTATTTTAAATTCCACTTGCTCTGAATTTCACGTGCAAAATAAAGTTTAGTTTGGTAATAAAATGACAACATGCTTTATTTAAAATTGTGGGAATAGAAATGTTGTTGGGAGAGTTGAAAGAAAAAGGACTGCTGCTATTTGAATGAGACATCACCGAGGGTTATTCCTTTTTGTGATCAAAAGTTGATCCAAAAAGAGACATGTGACATGTTTCAGTTCTGAAATATAAAGCTTATGGTTGATGATTGCCAGGTCTTAACTGCAGAGGACGGAGTGATTCATCCTACATTTAGTAAAAAAAAATAAATATATATATATATTTATCCAAAGTGATTAGATATAGAAATCAGACGCAGAATGAATTTCTTGGCAGCAGTTTCAGTCTCAGGTTCAGTTTCAGGTTGATAGTAAGAATAATAACAGTAAGTAACAAAGACAAGGATTACAGACAATTTCAATATCAGCTAACATTCATAATAAATCCACTGTAAAGAAGAATTACACTGCATTATTTGAGGTGCAGTTCTGCAGGTTCACACACGTCTGAGGAGGTCATATGTTCATTTATGGAATTGAAAAATTGAATTCCACTTTTTCACCCCCTTGCTGTTTTCAGTGTCTTGGTATCCTCCAGTGGTTACCCATTAGGTTTAATCTGAACCAGGGATGCCATTAAACAACATTCAATAATCAGCGTTTTTCCCCATATTGTCTCCTTTTGTTTTGAAAAAGTCTCTAAAAATGAGAGACTTCACTGTATTAAAATACTCAGTAATATTAGTGTTGCTAATGGAGGTACTAATAATAATGAATATGATAATATTGATACAAATTCAACAATTCAACGATAAATGTAACCAATCACACTGTATCATACGGGCCTTATCTGAGGTAGGCTACATAAATAAATACAGTAAGTTTAATACTGGCATTGAAATAAGAGCGCAGGTTGAGAGAATGACTTCATCCTGTGGAGTTTTCAGGAGAATTCAGTAAATATGGCGGGGGGAAAAAATCTAACTCGAGAGAGCAGAGTCCAACATTGTGTTGTATGACTTTGACATTTCATAGTCAATTTATTCAATGATTCAAGCTTACATTCATTTTAAGATTACCACCTCAGAAATAAACCTGTTTGCTAAAGGAAAATCTCTTTTTTTTGTCTAAAATTGTCAGTAGCAATTTATAACAATTATATTGTAAATTAACTCTAAAAAGTGTTCAATTAAATGTATTATTTCTTATTGTTAATATTTTTGTTATATACAGATATGCAGTGATGATTGCCATCATAACAGCATGCACTGGGGCCCAGAAAGCCTCATTTGAGGCTGAAATCTAATCATTTTTGCTGCCAGTGTTTTTTTTCTGTGTACATTTATATTTTCCTGCATGCACATAACCATTTCAGGTCTAATAAACACAATGCTGTCCATTCCTGCTGTGGCCATCCATGTGGTGCACCATGGGAGTGCACTCAACAAATGTCCCTAATTGTCACGAGATGCAGCCTAGGTCTGCACTGTAGCACAAAGTAGCACAAACCATTGCCTGTCCACTATGCATTAGCATTTTTATTGTTTAAATAAAAAAAGAAACATTGCAACAGTGAATAGTTGTATACGTTTCTTTGTTGTCGCAGGCTAAATATTCTCAAATTAACATGTATTCATAGTTTATTTTAGCAGGTAGGAAGGCGTGTGCACATGCATAGTACAACCCCACCCCCAAAAGCCACACTGTGATTCAAATACTGCCCGTCGTAACTACCTTACACCACTGGAGCAAACTCCGCTGAGGTGGACCACAAGATCCAGTTCTCTTTTTTGTAAAACTGCTTTCTGACAAAAGGTCAAATGAACTCTCTTGCTAATAATGAGAAAAGTTTGAAGACACTACCTAGCCGTCTGGTTCTGTCACTACCATGGACCATGGGTCATAGGACGGCCCATACTGAAAACTTCCATTTAAATGAGACTATAACTGACTCTCCAACTAGATGGTCTTCTTTTTTGGGCCTTTCTGAGCTCCAACTTGCTACAGAATGACACCTGCATGAAATCAAAGAGCTCTGCTGACAGCATCATTGCAAACAGAGAGCAGCCACATCTAAATATAGGCCCGTAGCTTGGACACACACTCGACTGTGCGAGGCCGGCGCTGTGCAAATCAGGAATGTTTGTTGAAATAAATAAACTTGCCCACATTTGAGGAGAGGAACTCACAATCACAAGCATTTCCTGTGTATAGGATTCTTTTGGTCAGACGTGTAAATAAAACATGATGAAAACCTTGGAGGGGAAAGAATGGAGGAGAGGGTGAGGGAGGAGAGGAGAGAAGTGAGAAGTACCGCTTTAACTCAACGCTTGGCACTTTTTTGTCTCTGTGGGATTTGGGTACATTTCGCACTAACACACGAAGCACTGTAATTGGTTCCACTGGCTCTTCATCCTCCAGTGATCTCCAAAGTCTTCTAAAAGCAAAGTGAATTAATAAATGATGCTTATCTGATGTAGTGTGAGTGTTTGAACAGTAAAAGATCCTCATGAGAAAGCAGCTCAGACAAAAGGGAAATCCTCTCAGTTTTATTTGTTTGCTGAGGAAACAAACTGCGCTGATGGATTGTGGTCAGAGATCTTCAACATGTATCGAGCATTAGCACCAGTCTGAACTCTCCAGCAGGGACGTACATGGGATTTCTTTGTGCTTTTTTTGATGGGACACACTTCCAGATTCTGGATTATGCTGAGTTTATTGACCAGACCAAGGTAGAAACATACCTGGTTCTTCTGAATGAAGTTTATTATAATCTTTGCTCGTTTATTTTAAGACATCCTCCAATCCAAGTGACTTTGTCTTCAGCAGCTGTTTGTCCTAAAAGTATTTACTGTAAATATTTAGTCATTAGGTCTTTTTAAATGATCATACTCGACAATATGTGCTGCTAACACAACCTCATGTTTAAATTCCACAATTTTAGTTTGAAAGCTAATACGGTTACCTTGACTTCAGATCATGTAAATGGCTTTTAAAGTTACAGTAATTTTTTCCCTGGTGATTTTATGTATTTAAAAATCAGAATCATATATGTTTTACTGATCCCTGGGGGGAAATTGGATTACATTATAGAATATCTAAACACAAGAAATTATAATAAAAATAGAAAATAAATGTTGTAAAAATATGTGCATTATACTGCAATATATATAGAAAAATAGAACAAATATGTATACTAGAATATATAACAACAATACGGTATATATAGAACATTTGAAAATAAGACATGTAAAAATAAAAAAATGTATAATACCATATATATATATATATATATATATATATATATATATATATAAATGAATAATAATAATAATGCTAATAGTGGATCTATGAATAAGAGTGTTAAATACAAGGATAGTATAAATATAAACATAAGTTTAAGTGTACAGTATAGTTGCAGTATAATGTAACAGTTGGATTATTGCACTGTCAGGTCAGTTTTGCACAGCTGAGAATAAGTTCCAAGAGCCATTTCTGCCATCAGCTGTGATTCAGACAAATGTATGAAGAGTTTAAAGAACACCATACATTCCATTCTGGAGCAAGCATTCACATGCAAGCATGTTTTTTGTTTTGGTGTCTGTGCCACCCATTCTTTACCTGACTGTGCTGGATGGTTTGTTACACAGAACCATCTGGGAAGTCACGTTGGAAACTATTGAAAAAGGGCAGGATGAAAAATACTCGGCAGGTAATTAAATGACCCATCTGTCTATCACAGGCAAACTTCAACCAATCAGATCAATGAACCATATAATGTAGGCAGACTGAAGCCAGTCGTTTTCCATGGAGAAAAGCCTTCAGTGCCGCTCTGCTCTTCTTTCAAAGAACAAACACTCTCAGTTCTGATAGAACTGATGCTAGCAGCGCCTATGCTAACTTCTTTAGCAGCTGCCATTGTTGTTTAACAAACAATGTCTTTTCGCTGACTCACACCTAGCGCCCACCCGCGGTAGATGCAGTACTCCCTCAAAGGACGCTGATTGGTCCGGTACCACAGCGGCCATAGGTTCAAATCCAACCTGTGGCGCTTTGCTGCATGTCATACCCTTTCTCTCCATTTCCTGTCTATCTTCAGCTGTCCTATCCAATAAAGGCAAAATGCCCAAAATATATATAAAAAAGCATTAATTACAACTTATGAACCTTTAGTCTCATCATAAAGACGCCATTCTCTCTCCAGCCATTGTGGCCATCACTGCATAAAGCCACTTCTTCTATTGAACCCACGCAAACCAGAAACAGAGAAAACGCATCACTTCCTGTTTGAAAGAGTATGCTTCCAAGGACCCACCAGACAGTGTGTGTGTGTGTGTGTGTGTGTGTGTGTGTGTGTGTGTGTGTGTGTTTTGAGCATCAAATGTAAAAGCTTTCATCAGGTTGAATCACTGTTTTGTTGAAGTAATTATTCATAGAGAGCAGCAAAATGGACACGTATTTATATGAAAATGCTGTGGATCATTACTCCAGACTAAATCTAGTCTCCAGACTGGCTCGGGAAGAGGGCCAGGGAAAAGTGATGCAGAATGTTCAACACCAACAACTGGTGTTAAAAGAATGCTAACTATTAATATTTTTTTATTGCTCATTCTTTTCGGGGGGGCACATTCTAACTATTTGATAAAAAGCAGAGGGGAATAAGGGTATAAGACACATCATTTTATTATCAATTAACTCAATTATTTTCCTCCTAAAAATTAAAAGATCAGGGCGCCCAGTTAGCTCAGTTGGCAGAGCTGGCGACCCATACTGCCGAGACTGAGTCCTTGCTGCAGCGGCCCGAGGGTTTGAATCAGACCTGCGGCCCTTTGAATGTCTTTCCCACTCTCTGACCCCCTTTCCTGTCTATCTTCAGCTGTCACTATAATAAAGGCAATAAAAGTCACCCAAATACTTTCTATTCTATTATACATTGAGGAGGATCTATTGGCAGAAGTGGAATATAATATTCATAACTACGTTTTCATATGATTACCTAGAAATAAGAATTGTGTTTTTATTATCT